CCCCCCCCCCCCCCCCAGGGGGACCAATGACTGGGGCGGGACAGCCAAGAAGGGAGCTTCCGGAAGGGCCCACACAACAAAGCACACCGATGCCCGTGCGTAAGCACACACACACGCTCACGCACACACACACACACACATAAACGCATGCGGGGCGGGCGCAAGCCCCCGCACACCGCGACCGGGTGCCACCAACGCAGGCTCGCATGGTGCAATCACGTGCATTGAACAAAGGTTGGCAGTATATTAAGGGGATTGCATTGGCAGCTGATCGGCGCCGGACTGGTGCTTGGCCAGGGCCAGGACGAAGGGCAGCAGCTCGCGCCCGGGGAAGCGCCCGAGGACCCCCTGCCCGGCAGAGACCTCGTCAAATCGGCACACGCCATCCCAGAGGGTGTCGGGACACGGGCTCGAGCCGGAGGCCGGGAGTCCGGCCACAGGAGTCACAGCCACTGGGACCGGCTCAGCAGTATGGTCGCCATACATCACAGGGGTCGAGTGGTCGCCGGTGACAACGACAAAATACTGCCGAGGTGGGAGGGAGGAGAGGGGGGGGGGAGGGGCGGAGAATGGGGTAAGTGATCGGGCAGGGAATCAAGGACCGCTGACAGTCGTGTGGTGATGGTACTGCATACCTTTTCGTTGGGCCGCTCGGCCTCCAGCTTCTGGAGGCCAGCGATCAGCTTGCCAAGGGCATGGTCCAAGCGCTCCAGAAGTGCGATCTGCGAACAGGGCGAAGGACGGCGTGTGGGGCAGAGAGAGGGAGAGAGGGAGAGAGAGAGAGAGAGAGAGAGAGAGAGAGAGAGAGAGAGAGGCCTCGCGGGTGAGTCGCGGGGACAGGGGAGAGGGATGCATATGCACAGGGAGAGGAGGAAGAAAGATAGATGGGAGATGTGGGTGCGTGAAGTCGCGCGCGATGGAAGGAGGCAGGAAAGACGCACACGCATCGAGACATTGAAGTCGTGGCCCGAATCATCAATGCCCTTGACGTGCATGAAGGCCAGCGAGTATTCAGGGCCTGGGCGGGCAGGAGGCGAGGGGTCAGGCCAAAGGACTAGAGGCATAGCCTGGGCGGAAACAGCGAGAGATTGGCGAGTCGGCGCAGGATGTGGCGAAGCCATACGTGCAATGTTGTCCAGGACGGCCTGGCACTTGGCGCTGTAGTCGCTGTGGTAATCACCGGTAGCGCCGGCGACCGGGATGACGTCTTTGGAGGAGGGAAGGACAGGAGCAGGGTCAGTGCCAGGGCCACGAGCAGATCGACAGGACCGACCGGCGGGGCCGCCACGCACCAAGACCAACGTTTATCCCGATGCCGGCGATAATGCAGGTGGGCGCAATGGCGAACCCACGGATTGGGGCACCAGCGATGGTCGGCTTCCCCGGGGTGTCGAAGGTCGTGCCCAGTGCCGGGAGATCCAGACGGACACCACAGCCACGCAGGAGCACACAATTGGCAGCTGGAAGACCCTGCTCGGCGCGCAGGCGGTTGTGGGGGTGGGCGCTGAGGATGCACGTGAACTCGTCGGACAACTGTGCAATCACCTTCGGTGCACGGGGGGGGGGGGGGGGGGGGGGGGGGGGGGGGGGGGGGGGGGGGGGGGGGGGGGGGGGGGGGGGGGGGGGGGGGAGGACACAGGGCGCGAGAGTCAGTCCGGGCGACGATCCCGCGGCCCGGGAGAAGGCGGGTGAGGCGAACCTTGGAAGTATACTCCGCGCTGCGACTCCCATCGAGAGGCCGGCACTTAACCAGGGGCAGGCTATGCAATGGCGAAACAGGTATCAGTTAGACCCGAAGGAGGGGGAGGAGAGAGGGGGGGGGGGGGAGAGACGGGAGGAGGCGAAAGCCAGGGCCAGTAATGCGGGCCGGCGTACTTGTCCCGAAGCGGATCGGTGCCGCTGATGGCGTCACTGAGTCCCGGGCCGCTGAGGACCACGCCGCAGCGGTGCTCTGTGGCATAGCGGACCCTGACACGGATATCGGGGAAGTCAGGCAGGACACTGGTGCCCAGGGCCGAACAGCGATAGGTCGGGTCAGAGGAGGGGGGCCACTTGGAAGGGCGCTGTGTGGATAGACAGTGGGAGGGGGGAGGTTTGGCGGCAGGGAGAAACGCACACGCCGTCCAGCGCTTGGCAGAGGATCGGCCCGGCCTCCTCGAAATTCCGGTCAGCACGACGGCTGGTCACAATGCCGGTGGATAGATCGCGAATGGCGAAATTACTCTGTTGGAAGAGGGAGGGAGGAGGAGGGCCAATCGGTGCGACAGCTTAGTTGTGGCCAGAAGCAGGGCGGGGGAGTGCAGAAGGACAGGCGCGTAGGGAAGAGGGGAGAGGGGCCACAGGAGGCGTACCTTGAAGGCAATGTCGCCCGGGGCCATGTCCAGACCGGCGCCCATGCTCTCGAAGGCGCCGCGACCGCGATACCACACGCGCGGGTTGTAGCCCAGGAGGTTCAGATGGGCAGTGTCACTACCACAGGCGAGACCCGCCTCGACTGGGTCGATCAGGCCATTAAGACCATGCCCTATGTGCGTTCGGAGGGTCAGTCAGTGACAGGGCGCGGTGGGCGGCGAGGGGGCGGCGAGGGTGACCCACGTGCGAGGCAGTCGAGGTTCGGCTTGTCAGCGGCCTGAAGGCAAGTTCGGTCGCCCAGGGAGGCGACCGGCAGGTCGCCCACACCATCGATCAAGACCCAGACGACCTTGGCGGTCGGGGCGGTGGAGCCGGACATGTTTTCGGAGATGGGCCGCGGCGCAAATAGTGCGTGCAGGAGGCGGAGGGGGGGAGGGGGGGGCGGGCGGCCGAGAGTAGGCTGGCGGCGATGGCAGGGGCGGTGATGGTGGGTGATCACAGCGGGGTGCCCTCGGTGCTGGCGCTCCTGCGGCCCTTTTCACCAGGTCGGTATTCTGGGGTGCGCGGGAGGGGAGGGGGGGGGGGGGGGGCGGAGGCCAGCCATCGTCCCTCAAGGGCGACCCAGGACGTCGCCACCATCTTCCCCGCCCCCTGCCGCTCTGCCTCCAGCTCCCCCCTCGAAGACTGGGCAATGGTCTGTGTCTGGGCCCTTGCGCTGCTGTGTGTTTCCTGTGGCTGCCTGGCACTGGTGCCGAGGGGGCGACTCGGGGCGGTCCTTCCCCGCCCGCCTCCCACCATAGTTGAGAGCCACCAACGGAGATGGCCAAGTCGGAGCTACCGGATTGCTGAAAATTGCCGGAGGAAGATCACACCAAAAAGGCAATCTTTTTTATGTTACTCAATACATATGTCGGATGTCCCCAATATCTGGGCGTCGTTCTGGAGTCCAGAACTGGTTGCCAAATCGGCCAGCCGCGAAAGGCGGGGTGTACGCGCGCGCGTGTGTGTGTGTGTGTGTGACTATGGGGTCTCTCAGGCGACTTCACTTCGAAAGTGTCCCTCATGGTGCGCCGCACGCGCCGACTGTGGGCGCCATGAGCGGGGAGCCACCGGCACATTTGCACGTCCGTGTGCTTGCGAAAGAGTGGGTAGATCAGCAATGTTCGTAGGGGACGGGCCTGACGCGGGTCCTTGGGTTTGTTTCCCTGTCCTCTCCATGGTGGGGCGGACCCATGGCAGTGGGGGGGCAGCCACGCTGCGCGTCGCGCCAATCCACACATGCGCCTGTATGCGAGAGGTGCGCACCCCCGCCTGCATTTTTTTCCCGCCCCCCACCCAGGGCACAAGTGCAAACATCCATAGCTATCGGGGTCATTCTTTCCAACAGGGCTCCCCGTTCTGGTGGGGGGGGGGGGGGGGGGCCGGGGGGGGGGGCTCCAATTGCGCGATCTACTGCACCCCCGGCGACAGGTCCTCGGCTTCGAAGTGGAGCTCGACGTCAGGCGGCAGTGGACGCTGGGAGAACAGGCCCATGCCAGCGTGCAAGAAGCGCGCCCGGGTCTCTCCCGCTCTCTGGAGCTTCTGGATAGAGCAGAAGTGGGCTCCGACAGCAAGACTATGAAGGGGGGGGGGGGGGCGGGGGGGTTTTCTCCCTGCTGTGGCGCGGCTTCCTCCGACTGGGTGTCCCTTTCCGGGAGAGGTGGTCGGTGGGGAAGGGCAGGGGGACGGCCTCGCTGCCCTCCGGTGCCCCCTCTCTGTGTAGCCGGCCCTCCCCTGGCTCCGGCCCGGCCCCGGGTCAGGGTGGTCTGTGGCGCGCTTGCGCGTGCGCGCGCCCGTCACCTGGCGGTGTGTGCCATGGGGCGCTGTGTGTCCCCCTGTTCGCGCGGAGGAGGTATCGGCGCCTCGACCCAGCTGTCCCCCCCGCCCCCGCCTCCGAGGGAGTGTGAGGGAGGGGGGAGCCTTGCGGACAGTCAAATACGGAGAGAAATGCCCGAGTACAGAGCGGGCGCGTGTGCGCGGGAATGTAAACGCGTGTAAGCAGGGGGGGGGGGTGGGGCGGGGGGGGGTGGGGGAGGCAGGGGCGAAGGTCCCCCCTCCCCCCACCTTTGGAGCATGGTGGGCACTTTCTTCACTCCCGGGGGGGGGGGGGGCGATGGATTCAAGGGATACCCTGGTGCACCAGAGACTCGCCCCAGAAGACTGTCTCTAGTTGTTTTGGTTCTTTTTCCTCGACTACAAACAGCAAAGATGGTACCCCCCCTTTGCTCTCGCCCTCCCCTCCCTCCCTCCCCCTCCCCTCTTTGCCCCCACCCCTCCCCTCCTGTCCCACCCCCGCCCGGCGCACGGCGGCCCCCCGTCACGACGGCGTCCCCTCTCTCCTCCCCCGTCCTCTCGGCAAAGTCTCGTCCGGACCTCTCCTGTGCATGCATCGGCGGCGTGCGCTGCACCGTACTCCAGCGCGACAGACCTCGGCACGCGCGCGCGCCCTGCTCATGCCGGCGTGCGTGGATGTGTGTGTGTGTGTGCGCGCGCGCGCGCGCGTCGGTTGCGCCGATGTTTCCTTGTCGGCCGTCGGTCCTCCCACTGTGCAGCATGCAACCTTGCGCGTTGCGCGGCCCCCTTCTCCCGGAGACGTGCTCGATTGGATGAGGTTTGGAGTTTTGCCGCGCGCACGAGCGGCGAGAGGGGACCCCTCAGTCGGATGTCTCTTTGAGATGCATGCATCCGATGCGTGTGGATGGAGCCCCGCACCAGCGCGGTGTCGGACAGGGGGTCGGAGACGGCGTGTATCTCCCTTCGGCGGTTGTCTCCCCGAAAACTTCCCTCTCCCCGCCCCACCGTAGCCATGCCTTTCCCTGTTGAAAGCTCCCCACTAACTTCTCACCAACTTCCGTGCTTCGTGTCCTTCCCCACCCACCCACCCCTCACCAGTCCCAGCAGAACTCCGCCAAGGCCCTCCGCTCTCTCGATAAGGACCAGCTCCAGAAGGAGCTGGAGATCGCCAAGAAGGAGCTCGCTCGCTTCCGCGTCTCCAAGGTCGCCGGTACCGGTACCCTCGGTGTCCACGACATGTGCGTCTCCATTGTTCTTGGTTTTGGCATCCGCACTCGCGCCCTCGCACTGCTGCCCTCGGCTCCCCTCCTCTGCATCCCTCTCTTCTCCCAAGCCCGCCTCTCGCTCTCCGTCATTTGCGCGGGCGAAAGCGGCTACTGTTGTTTCGCATATTCTCGCGCGGGGGTGGCTTGGCAAGGGGGGAGAGAAGTGCAGCCGGCGGGAGAGGGCATTTTTCTGGCTGGCACCTCATGGCGCCGCGCGCTCCCCTCCGGCCTCTCCATACGGCCCCGAAGCTTGCTCCTAACATGTCGTCCTTGTATTCCCTCCTTTTCTCCCCCGCTGTCCCTGCTCCCGGTCCCCCTGTCGCGCCCTTCTCCTTTCCCTCTCTCTCCCCCCCTCTCTCTTGGCCTTTTCTCAGTCTCACTGCCCGCAAGAACATTGCTCGCATCAACACTGTCATCACCCAGAACATCCGCGCCTCCACCCGCAAGGCTTTCCTCGGCAAGCGCATGCCCCACGATCTCCGTGCCAAGAAGACCCGCGCCATCCGCCGTGCTCTCCCCGCTCACCTTAAGGAGAAGAAGACCCTGCGCGCCCAGAAGAAGGCTGCCCACTTCGGCCAGCGCCTGTACGCCCTCAAGGCTTAAGTGCGCCTCCCCGTCCTTTTTCCTTTTCTCCTCGGAGGCCTAGTTTCGGCCGCGGACGAGAGCCACACGCGCGTGCGCGAGAGAGGTGTCTCGTGCGCGCCTGTGCAGGATCTGGTTCCCGGTGTACGCAATACAACAACAGCGACTACTTGGAGGAGAGAGTATACCGGCCAGGCCGGGCCCCCGGGGGGGGGGAGGCGGGGGGGGCATGTGTGTGGCGTGCGTCGCGTGGCAGTGTCTTGTGGCCCTGTTGCCGTCGTGCGTGCGCGCGCCTCCCTCCTCCCCCCTGCCGCGCCCTTCCGGGCTTCCCCCTTCTCTCTCTCTCTCGTACGTTTGCTGGCTGGCGTTCTCCTTCTCTCCATGGCCGGCGGTGGCGCGTGCTCGCGCTCTCTCATCTCGTGTCACGCGCGTGTGTCTCTCCCGTTCCAAAATACATCCTCCATCTATGCGATAAACACATATATTCCCCCTCCTCCGTCTCGTCATTCATTTGCCTCTCTCCTGAGGGGCGGGCGTGCGCGCGCCACCCCTGTGTGTGTATAGGGCCTTTTTTTCCTTCCGCGTGTGGCCTATTGTTTGCACCACCGAGAGTCCAGCTGGTGTTTTCCTCCCCTTCTCTTTCTCTCTCCTCACCAAAGGACCACGGAAGACATGGATCTCCCCGTTCTTGGCGTATTCCTCCTTCTGGTGCGCGGCTCCCTTTTTGCCAGCCAATGGCACCCCGGCCGGGGAGGAGGGGGACCAAGGAGAACCACCAGCCAGAACCGCGTCCCAGAACATGGACGGGGCGACGTGCACCTGTGGCCAAGCGAGATGACGGTCCACCCCCCGACCAGATTACTGGTACCGCCTTCACAGAGTGCTGCAGTTCTAGCATTTCACAGTCCAGGTCGGTGGCCCCGATGCCCAGGCGCCGGCCGGTGCCAGGCCGCCCTTTCCCGTGAGTGAGCCCAAACCACCACGCTGGAGGCGCAAGGGCGTGCTTGGCCTTTCTCCGCCCCTCCCTGTCCCCGGGGATTTCTGGCCACCCCAGAGGATGGGCTTGCACAAAGACCCGGGCGGAGCACCACTCCCGGATCCCAATTAACACACACATCGGCAGGACCATCGAGGTTTGGTTCTTAACAGTAAATTGCTTATGGTGTTCAGAAGTAACTCAGAATCGGAGAGGCGCCCCTTGCGAAAGGCGTGCAAGGGAGTTTGTTGTCAGTTAACACCGCCGGCTGGCTGACTGCCTGGCCGGCTAGACGCCCCGCCCCCCCCCCCCCTGTGCCTGCCTCCGTGTGACCGGGTCGTCGGCCGGCGCGAGAGTCGCCATGATCGACCTGTCGCCATCATGCGGCCGGGCGCAGGTGTTGAGCATGGTCGTGATAGGGCCCTGCCGGTGTCGGATGCAAAAGGCCACCGGAACCTGTGCATTTTTTTGTATTTGTGCTGAGGAAGAGCACACCGCCCGTCGGGTGGCGTCGGCCTCCATCAGGTCCAGAGAGGATGGCAGGAGGAGACCATCATCTTTTCACATCACGGTTGCGCCGCACGGATGAACATGCGCATGTGTATGTGTGTGTGTGTGTGTGTCTGTTTGGGCATGCGCATGCGCGCGGCAGCTCGGCTTGCAACCTGGCATCTCAAAGCTTCTGCGGCTTGATGCCCTTCTGCTGGCAGTCGGCAATCACCTGCGGGTCATTGGGATCGCACAGACCGAAGAACTCCAGCATCTCCTTCTGGGGCTTGTCATTCGAGGCAACTGGTGGCAGGTCACATCCACGGGGGCCAGGGCGAGAGAGGGGGTCAGTCTCAGGCGGGGACACGGGTGGTGGTAGTGGCGAGGGCGTGGCGAGCTTGCAAGGGATTTGCGCGTGCATATCCACGCCTGGCGTCATGGGCTCATGCGCTCCGACGTACAGTAGAGGATGTGGTCGGCCATGAGCTGCAGGCTGAAGGACAGGAGGGGGGCAATGTCCAGGAAGTTGGCGACCTGGCGATGGGCAAAGGCATGCGGGGGGGGGGGGGGGAAAATAT